ATGCTCACATATCCTCTCTCTAAGAGCCGGGGTAAGCTCAGATCGAGCAGGAATTACTGGCAGCCTATAAAATAGGAATGTTATAGGGGTATAGAGAGCAGAGAGAGGTAGAAAACGCGAGATATACGCGCCATGGGCGAGCTTCACTAGCGCGTGATATAGAGCGGTGTATACTATAATGGAAGGCGGTACATAGGTGGGGCCAAAGGGGGTGTTAAAACTTTTGCGCAGTGACTGTATTCTGACAAGATTTCCAAATTTCTAACAAAAACAGAATGATCTCATATAGATTACCATCCATTTCCAAACTTGAGCGGGTTACATAAGCGAAAACTGAGGAGACCCCCTTGAGAGTTTAACAACAATCTGGTGTGGAATCTTGAAACTGAGCGCCACAAGACTGTACACAATGGTGTCAAAGATGTCTTCAACTGCTCGACTTCACGATATCATAGGCTAGCGAGCCATGACTTAAGTAGATTTCAACATATTCACGGCTAGCTCATAAGCCTTTTCTTTTGCGTCCCATTCATATGTCCCTTTCTTAGCCATCTTATCCCATGCATGGTTGCACCTTTCCATCCGCTCGGAAACAACGACACGACCAGCTTTCTCCCGCAGCCGTGCTGCCAATTTTTCCCCCTCCACCGCCAGACTGTCATAGCCAGCCGTCACGATCAAAATCTTGCGAGGGAAACGATCCAAATCGGCATATGCAGGCGAGATGCGAGGATCCTTGGGATCATGCCCGGATAGCATATAGCATTTAGCAAAAAGCCGGAGCACAAATTCCGGAATAGGTTGACCATTTGGATCAGGTGCAGCTAAGGCACCGGGGTCAACGAACGCTTCGACTGCCGGATAAAAGGATAAAACAGAAGAGAACGTCTCCGGAGGGAAGACACAGGACGAAACAGCCAAAACCAGATTTGCACCTGCACTAAAGCCGGAGATGGCGACCTTCGAGATGTCAAAAATTTCCGGTTGCCCCAAAACCCAGTTGATGGCGTCTTCGGTGTCATTTATTGCTGCTGGAAAGGGGTTCTCAGGAGAAAGACGATATTGTACGTCGAGCACGGTATAGCCTGTCTGTTGACTCATTTGACGACAGAATTGATCGTCGCTGCCGTGGGCAGGAATCACGAATCCACTTCCGTGGAAGTTGAGGAGGACAGGAGAGGGAGTTTGCAACCCATGGGTAACGGGGGGTCGGTAGATATGAACCTTGATGGAAGTTTCACGTTGTCTGGATTGAATAAAGATCACTTCGTCTGGATAAGAAGTAATGCGTCCTTGGAGTCTGGCGAATGCTCTGAGGAAAAAGGCAGCAATTCGGAGAGCAATATTTGACAAGAGAGACAAGATTTAAGGTAAAGATAGACGAAGAACCATGCCCATCTAATGCCTAGGACACTGCTTGTTTAAATACTTTACCGTGTAGTTTGGTCCAGCAGGCGTATTTTACAACCTCGGCAGCAAGGATACGCTTGAAAACGGGTAGCGGTAATACTCGTAATATTTACTTAATACGGTTTAGCGGAATGGGGTCTTGATAGGGGGACCATGATGTTTTATGCATCAAAACAATCCTCCGTCTCAGAACGACTCACAATGGGACCTAGAAAAAAGGGTGCAAAGTCGCATCATGGGTGTTCACAATGCAGAAGAAGGAGTGTCAAGGTAGGATTCTCTTTGTTTTGCGATCTGTAATTTATCCTCGGCTTTTTTTCAAAACTAAAATTAGAACAGTGCGATGAAATACGTCCGAGATGCACCAATTGTACATCTCGTTCTACCGACTGTCAATACTCCGCATCAAGTGCTTTTACCTGGAAGTATCTATCCGAGACGCCCGCATCTACTAGCTTCCCACTGACCATCCGTCCACCGCCAAACATTGCCGAAGAAGAGTTGCACCGCATAAGCCGACTCGAGACTCCGCAAAAGAGCCTCCAAGGGTCTGGGGTCAGGCAATGCAATGACCAGGAATGGATTTTGTTGTCACACTGGCGTGCCTCAACTTATCGAACAACTTCCAGGCATCACAGCGTGGAATGGGTATGGCAAAATCTAGTTCTAGAAGAGTCCCTGTCTCATCCACATCTTCTGAATGGCCTACTGGCACTTTCAGCAATCCACCTAGTGACCAAAACGGATGATGAGCCTCGTCGTGATGCTCTGATAAATGCAGCAGAACGGTATCAGGGTCGAGCAATTAGCATGCTGGCACGTATAATTGGCAATCTGAGCCCCTCAAACTGCAATGCGACGTTCTGTCTGTCAAGCATTCTAGTTATCTGCGCATGGGGGTTTCCATTGATTGCGCATCCCACACAGGACCTTGAAACTTTGGATGAGATATATCAAAGATTTCTCTTGGTCCGTAAGATGGTCCATCTTACTAGAACAATTACCCCGTGGATCCAAAATAGCATACTTGCTCCGTTGATTAAGGTGACGAGTTTTGTCCCAGCGCTGTCAAATCAGTCCCGAGAGGCGATTGCCTCTCTCTCTACCTTGAACCGGGAAATCCGGGGTTCGGAAGGAGATGGGGAGGCACAAGTGTTCCAATGTGCCATCGACGGACTGGAAACATTATTTGGGACGATAGACGGAGGAGGAGACGTGTTGATGGCAGGATCCCTGTGGATTTTTAACACTCCACTTCGATTTTTTGAACTTGTCAGGGAGCTTAGGCCATTTTCGCTTGTGATCCTGGCACATTATTGTGCTATTTTGCATCGCATGCCAGAGCAATGGTGGATTTCTCCATGGAATGAGAGAGCGTTAGCAGCGATATACAAGAATTTGGAAGAGAAGTGGAGATGCTTTATAAAATTGCCCGTCGGGTTCACACTTTGAAGCGGAGATGTCTAGTGAACATATTACTCGACAAGAGCTGGATGTTAGTACAGAATTACATTATGAAGCCCAGCGTTACATTAAACTTTTATACCTGTTGGTTGAATCAACGCATCGAATGCTCCCCGACAAGCCTTACACTGATTGCACCAAATACATTGGCACATTTGACAAAAGGGCAAGCTGATTGGCATGACACCACATGGATATGGTTTTTTCCGCCAGATCTGAATAATTGAAGATACAATGAGTTGATTGATCTAAATTCAAAACAAATGATGAAAGGCGGTAGTTATTCTCGGCACTTTACAACGGCCTGCATGCCGGAAATATAGTGCAGAAGCTAGCTCATTACTTGCACCTCGCCGAGGTCGAGCGCTAGTTCCAAATCCCAAATAACTGGCCCCAATCTGACCCAACCACATTGGACTATTCTGGGACTAGTGGAATTTCCCCCACGAAAGCAATTGATTTAAAATCAATCAACAAAAAACATACAACAGTGAGGATTCGCTGGTGGTCACCCACCCAACTACTAACTCACCGGCGTGTGGCTTAAGTACGGCTGAGCGGACGGGAAGCCCTGTTTTCCACACCCTATGGTCGTATGTGTCTTGCTCATGGGAAAAAGAATCTATCTATCGTCGTTTGAAATTTAGGAAGAGATATGTCAACATACCTTCTTCGGATAAATGACGGATATAACCAGGAACCCCCACGGCGAAGGCAGCATTAAGGAGCCCTGTAATAAAACACACCCCATCGGACCAGCCACCAGTCATATTATAGTAATGCGTCCACACCTGCGAAGAGCTCGCGTATGTCTTTGGCATCACCGCGAGCACCACGACGGTTGCAAAGAGTCCGGTCATCGATAGGATCAGCGCGGCTTGATTAATGAGAGGGATAAACCGGTTTCCTAGACATACAATTGCACAGCAGGTCCGATTGACAATTTGGAACACAAGAAACACCTGCCAGGAGCACCAGGTGACGTCAGAATGCCGAAGCAAATACATAGCCACCGCTTCATTGCCTAACATAGAACTCATCGATGAGGCCGACAGGAGCCAGACACAAGCATTGAGATAGCCCGTAAAGAATCCGGTGGCGCGGCCATACTTCCCGTCCAGTACCGTGGACCAGTAGTATACTCCGCCTGCGGAGGGCATCGAAGATGCTAATTCGGCCAGTGAGGCCGAAATCACCGTATAGAAGATACTCACGAGGATTAATCCATACAGAAGAGCCATCGGGCCACCGTTCATGAGTGCAGTCACGATCGTGCCACCGGTTGCGGCCCAGGAACTATTATATACCAGTTAGTTGAAGCCACGGACGGAAAAGGGTTCAAATCACTGACTTGGCGATCACAATCCCTAAGCTTGTCACACTCCAGAGCCCAAAGTTTCGAACCAGCTCCTGTTTGTGACCCAGAGCAGCCTCCTGGCGTACTGTGTCTATCTCCGTGCTGTTCCCCATCCCTGTCTCGCTGACTAGGGCAGTTTGCTTCTCAGCGACCATCATATCATCTGTCAATGATATCGAGTGCGGTCAACAAGAAGAGCAATGAGGGCGATCTAAGAACTGATCGAAATCAAAATCAAGAGAGAGACAAGAAAAAATAGCAAGACATGGTGCCCCACTAGTCTATCCGAAGTTTGATACAAGAGTTTCCCCATTTGTCGAGGAGGGGTGGATACAAACAAAAAAGTGCGATGTTGGTGAGGTTACGATGCAATCCCAGACCGTTTAAATCTTCGCCCCTATTCTAGCTGGGGCATGGTCTCAACTCAATTGGAATTGATAAGCCACAAGGGGCCCAATCCAAATGGGACTCCACTATGATGGTGGGTCCATTTTTTAGCCTTCAACCGGGGTTAGGGTTCAGTTCTTATAATGTTGGACGGTATGATGATCCAGATCTCCAGTAGAATGTATGAGGAAGAAAGCTCTTTGACATCTGCTGAATTCTCCTATGAATTATACTATTCTGCCGGAACAGAAACGCAAGCATCAGGCGAAATGTCTCCCCACCATATAGCGCGCTTAAAATGCAACTAAAAAAGATGAGCGTCGGGATCAGGGGTTCCGATGGGCTTCAGCTGCCCGTGTGGAGCTCTCCGTCAAAGTTTTGAGGCCCATGGCCCCGCTGAGTCAATCTGCAAGTTGGTCTTTCTTCAAGAAAGATTTGGTGTGCTGTGTAGTTAATGGACACAACTGCTCCTCTCCTCAAAGTCCGGCTGTCTGTCTCATTTATCTTGTAGCCTTCTTTTTTTTTTTGGAAGGGGGGGGGGGGGGGGGGTGATTAATTCTCCAGTATCAGATCTCTTGGGGCGAGTGGGGGAGAGGGAGGGGAGTTCTACTATATAGGGGCCGTAACTCGCACACAGCTTTAGAAGGATTGCAAGAAAATTGGTTTGCCCCTCAGTCTATACTAAATTTCCTAATTTGGACTGAGCAAATCTATCAATTCTTCGGGGGGAGAGGGGGGGGGGCTGAAAGTTGTGCCGCCATTCCGAGCCAAATTCTATTCCCGAGGGTCGATGATATCTGTAACTTTCTTATTGGGAAGCTCGATCTTTCCTCCTATAAACTTGTGAGGTAGATTCAATTTTCGAAGGGAGCGACCATTTTCATGCCAGAATGGGGAACGTATCACCCACACCTCACCAACTGTTGGTAGAAGCTGTGATCTTTTGGAGTATTAGCACAGTACTCTACATTGGCCGAATGTATGTCCGAAACTTTCTGGGCCCCGGACATTGAAGAGACGCGGAGGAGACACTGATATTTCATGAACAGGGCCTCCCGGTTGATGGCAACTATATCAATCCAGAAGATATCATGTACGGAAAATTGCTTCCTTTCGTTTGACCAGCCATAACTTACAAGCTCAATCGGACATTCCAGGGGACGATTATGTGATGACGGCAACGTTTGTGAGTCCTCTGCTTTTGGCCCGCTCCGTGATCCTCGACTGACTATCAAGTCGACCCCGATAGATATTTTATACGTCCTTATTGATCTTGATTCAAATCTCGGCATACTACAAGACTAATCTGATGGAACCGAGCGAGTATGATCAGGTGCTCTCCGATCCCCATCAAGTTCATGAGCGTATTATTGGAAGCAAACTTGTTATTGCGCTGGAACAGTGCATGCTCTTCGTAACCTGGGGGGTGAAGGTCTGTCTGTTGATACTCTACTGGCGGATCACTAAGAATCTGCCCTCAAACCTCTATGTCAAGATTCTCGCCGTTTATGTGGCGCTTGGTTTCATCGTGATTATGGTCACCTACTATGCTGTGTACTGCCGACCCTTCTCGCAATATTGGGCGTTGCCAGTGTCAAATTTGCAGTGCGCCACGTACCAACACTATTCAATCACACAGGCGGTTTTTGGAATCTCATCGGATGCCTTTATGTTTGCCATTCCAATACCACTTATCATCAAGGCGAGGCTTCCACCTCGCCGGAAGGTGCTGCTACTTTGCGTGATGAGTTTAGGTCTTTTTACAATCATTGCCGCCATCCTGAATAAATACTTCAATTTTGCCTCTCCTCTGACTACCGTGTACCAGATCTGGTATATCCGCGAGTCGAGCACTGCTATCATTGTTGCCAATATGATGTGTTGGTGGCCGCTCCTCCGGAAGGTGTTTGGTGTGAGAGACCTCCCGTATCATAGCACCCCTGGATGGCCATCCCGGGGCACCAACATGGAAATCAAACCTTACTCGAAGACCGTTGGGTCACAGTCTTGTCCATCCTTTTCCTCAACCCGCCCATTTCGTCTCCCTCGACCCGGTTTACGCAGCTCAAAACAGAGTGCTACATCCACCGGAAACAACAAGGCAAGGAACTCTAGCCAAGAAGCGATTAATCAATCTACGAGTGAGATGATAGAGGATCTGGATCACGTGGATGACGTTCCGCTCCAGGTTTGGGGCAAGGGTAACGAACGAGGCACGGATATTGAAAACATCGCAATCCAGGAATCCATCGCCAAGTTTGAACTACCGGATCACCGCGCAGAGGTACCTTTTAGAGATCGGATTTATTGTACCCGTGAGTTTGACATCCGCTCTGACTCCAGGGCTGGACAACTCTCTTTATGACGTGCCGTTGAAACTGTTCAAACCTGCTTGAATCTACAAACCAGGCTTCTAGAGAGCATCTCCTTAGACATCAACTGCCACCCAATCGAAGACACTCAGTATCATTGCCCTCGTAAGCCTGCTTACCTGGTCTCAAGTCACGTAGATAGTATTACGAAAAAGTGGGCGTGCACGCGTCAAACATAATTTAGTCCCCTCGCTTGCCGAATCTTTCTCCAATGTCTAGGGCCAAATCAAAATCCTGTGGCAGCTTTAGTATGTTCTACCTAGTAGTAGCCTATTTTGTGATTGAGATAAAGGTCGAGTTCCTTCTTAAATTGAAGAGTTCTCGAGAACTTATCGCTACCAGAATCCGTATCCGAGCTGAAAGCTCCATGTAGGAAGGAGAAATTTCAGCAGTGAAGTTTGAGTATGGCGTATCAAGAAAAAGACAACTTTAAGCTAATAGAAAGCTACTATCGGCTGACTTCAAGAGTCCTACATTCTGTTTATGTCGATTTGGTAGAAACCCCTGATCTCATCCTTTACACGGTTCCCTCTCCAGTATGTTTTAATACATACGACCACAGGGTGTGGAAAACAGGGCTTCCCGTCCGCTCAGCCGTACTTAAGCCACACGCCGGTGAGTTAGTAGTTGGGTGGGTGACCACCAGCGAATCCTCACTGTTGTATGTTTTTGGCCCTTCTTTCCTCATCGAAAGACGTGTTGCACTGTTAGTGCATTCATCTATTTTCCTATCTGGCTTTCGGATTCATCTCTACTTCTCCCATACCATGTAACAAAGTACCAACACTACAGGCACTAGCTAGACTAAAGTACTGGGAGTATAATCCCGAAGATAAATCAGGCCGCTACTCCTGATGGATTATATAATGTATTCGGTAAGCGAGCTGGCCACCCTGCCCAAGCTACTAATTTCAAATATTTACAACTCAACTAAAACTCCATTAAATTAAACATACTAAAATAATCTATTCTCTAGATATGCATTTCTTTTATAACCCGTATATTGGTAATGCTCTCGTTCGGGGCTGTAAAGGTGGCGAAGGCCTTCTCTGCCGGCGGGGGGGAGGCGCTTCAACCGCTTCAACCGGCTTAGTAATCAATTGAGAAGCTTCAAGAACTAAGAGGCCTTCTTCAGTAGGTATCTGCCTCCGGGATCCAGTACGCTTTTGCTTCTACTTCTCGTTAGCGGCGCGTAAATCCTTATTTTCTTTAGCGAGTAAGATAGCACCTTGCACTGTTGTTACGCACTGCCTAACTGGTCACAGTTATGTTGGAGCTTCCCTGATTATACTTGCCTGTGCTGATCCTCCAACGTCAACGATCGGCCTCTCAACCGAGCTGTTGCTGCGCACTGTCTTATTCCAGCCTAAGTCCTTTTGAGGGTATCAGGGAACGATGCCAGGTAGAGCGCCGAGCAGATCTATACCGCAGTATTGGTCTGTTCGTTGGTGTTGTCAAGTGATAATATAGTAAGTGAGTCAACAAGGTCGTAAGGTAAACACAAGTAACAATGTATGATTGAAGACGAAGAACTAAACTAAGTACATGAGAGAGTGTCCTTATATATCCTTCGCTTCCTGGGGTCGCCAGTGCTCCTGGGGTATATCCTACACCCCGGGGTAGATCGACCCCTCTGAGTATATCCTACCCCGTGCAGGGATATACTCCTCTTGTGATCACGTGATTGCTTGATTGGCTCTCGGTGGCCCATCTGTGTACCCGGTGGGTCACCACTGATTGGTGACGGGTAGTG